CGCACTCATATTTTCAACCTTATTGAATTGTGACACCTTGTTCTACTAATTAAAATGGACAAGTTGAAATAAAAAAGATATGTTTCATGAACATTGAAATAACCGTAACTAAGCTATTCGGATTTCTAAAAGACGTAAATTAAAAGTTTCCTAACCTTCGGATAGCAAGTGTTGAACCAATAGTCTACACAAGCGAATTCATATGCTTGAATGTGTCGCTAACTCAAAGTGCGAGATTCTTTTCTATTGAGTAGGAAAAATAAGTAACTTGTACTTATATTACTCTTAATGTGTTTTGTGAAACTGCGATCGTCTTAACCTATCGTTCGGCTATTTTATTTATTTTGAAAAAAAAAATTGATCAAATTTACGATTTCAGTCCGATATCACGAGTTATTTAACTTTCAAATAAACATCTTCAAATGGGTTCCATGATTTAAAATATTAGACAATACATAGTAGGTTTTGACATGAGTTTTACACCTACAAAATGTTGACGAGTCAAAGAACAAGGTAGAATTTTTCAACTTTTTTAAAATAGAGAAATTAGTGCCAATTAGTAGGCATGACAACGAAGTTCAATTCATGAGACCCCAGCAAGCCGGGAATCCTTGATCTTCGCGGGACCCGATCCGAAAGTGGTGAGGATTCTCTAATTAATCGGGGATGGGGATAAAATCACTTCCTCGAGTCAAGTGTGGGACGAGGAGGGGGAACATGATCTTGTCCAGTTAATAATTGCACTTTTTAATCTATAATAAATTAGATATCATATTAAAACATTTTTTTTTTTTACTATACTAGTCCTACTATTATTCAATTATTTCAATAATAGGGTAATTAGCACATAAAGTCCCCACCTTTCACTACTATTGTGGAAAATGTCATTTCATTTTTTTTTTTAACATTTTCACCCTTATTTCCATATTTCATTGTGCAAAATGTCTTTTTCATTTATTTTCTCAATTAAAAATTGTGAAATGACGAATATATTCTTATCGTTAAATAAAAAAAAACAGAAAAAAATTATTACAACCATAGTCCTAATTTTTTTCAAAAAAAAAAAAAAAGCACGAATGAGTCTCAAATAAATTATTAAAAGTGTAATTAGCACATAATGTCCTATCTTTCACTATTATTGCAAAAGACATCCATATCTTTCTTTTCTTTTTTTCTTTTTTTGATATTTTCACCCTTATTTACATATTTGATTTCGCAAAACATCATTTCTATCCATTTTCATTCAATTTCTCAATAAAAAGTTGTGAAATGATGAATATACCCTCATATTTAAATAATTAAAAAAACTAAAGAATTAATTG